TTCCTAGCACCCGCCCCCGCAAACCTGAGTACATCAGGCGCTGCCCGCCCGCGGGACGCAGGAAATGCAGCAGAGGGGGCCCTAGGCCGACCGGCAAACCTAAGTTGCCAACTTAACCAAATCCTCAAATAACATCACCCTGAAATGAGCAAGCACTTGGGATCAATAGAATGGCTCGAGGTTCCCAGGCGGGGCCAGGGCTCGCGGGGACCTCTGGGGGCTGCCGTGTAGGGCGGGTCGGTGCGCCTCGCCTCCCCACCTGGCGAAAAGCACCCTAACCCCACACCTCTTCCCCCGAACCTAGGCGCTCCCTTTTAGGGGGAAAGTGGTTTTCATGTGAGAACGCGTTGGGTCTCACTGCTTAGCACTTTTGCAGAGGGATCAGCAAGCAGAAAGATTTGCAAAATGAATTTACGAAAAAATAAAAAGAACCAAATAGCCTTAAGTGCCGCTCGGAGGGGGGAGAGACTAGCTTCGCCAAGGCCCAGAAACTGGCTTCTCCGGGCCAACAGCTTACGCGCCATAAAAATGAAAGGATGTGATAGTAACAACGCTCAGAGCAAACACTCCGCAGCCTTCCCTCCCGCCCCTCCCCCACCCCGCGCCCTGCGCACCAACTTCTCTGTCTACACTTCAGAGTCCCCGGGAGGTGTGGAGAGATCCTCCATCACGACTTGGGACATTGTAAGCTGTGAAGTTTACGTTTGTGGCGCCTGGGCTCAAACAGCCATTCAGTGGCTCGCTCCGTTATCAAGAAAACAACAATCAGAATAGATCAGTAAACAGCATTGGCTGCCAGCCCCTGAATTAACTAACGACTTGCATTTTGGTTTAAAAACACCGACTCACGCTGTACAAGTTAATTGCTTTTATTTTAAATAGTTAACGAGAATTCAAGATTTTGGGTCATTTTTGAAAGGAACACTTTTTAAATAAAGGCACAGAAATATTCCCTTCCCCCTTTCTCCCCGTGTCCCCAAAAGAAAATTTGACTTGCCTTGTTGTGACGTAATCTTTAACTGTTGATTAGCAGAGAGGAAGTAAATCGTCCTTAATGAAGAGAACTCAAGCACGGTTCAGATTAGAATTCTCCTTTACAAAAGTCGACTACACTGAACTTTACAAATAAGAAAACAAGTACTTTCTGTTTGGTTTACTGACATTAGGGGTGAGATTAAACCCCCTAACTAGCTGGGTCCTGTCCACACTTAGCTCTTCCTGTGGTTTGGACCGAGTTTTAACTTTCTTTCCTTCTTTTTCTCAAGAGAAAGGAAAAGGCTAAGTGAATCCACATGGGACTTACAAGATATTTCAATGAGAAAGATCTTATGGCTTAAAAATCAAGGTGCTAGGGAAATGCAAAGTACTTCTAGGTACCTTAAAAGCACATTGTCTTTTTGGCTGGAAGTCAAAGGGGTGAGACCAGAAAAGAGGTCATTCCGCTCAGTTTAACAATCAGGGCGAACAGAGAGGCACAGTAGCAACAAGCCGTCTTTCAACTCCAGAAGCCCACAAAAGTTGTGACTTGGTCAGTGGGTACACACACCCCTGTAGACTCTCCCATAAACAGAAATGTTATTCCAATGAAGACAAAATATCATCACATATATGACCCTGACTTGGGAAGGATATTCTTTAATGGATAAAAAAAAAAAAAAAAAAAAAGCCAGGTCCCTGTGATGAGCAGGAAAGACAGAGGGCTAACATAGGAGGTCGCTGCTCTGGAACAATAGTGGGAAACCCCGGCCCCGTGAGAGGACAGATGCTGATACGGAGTCCCATGGGGGGGGGGGGCATCCTGGGTGTCTTCAGTTGCCCTACACGTCGGCTTGCAGAAGCTGGAGGAAATGAGTCATAATGTCCAGAAGGAAGAATTCAGAGTAATAAGGGGAGGGAGGATCAAAGATAATAGCAAACAGGAGGAATTTCATTAGAAGACACAGCTCAAGGCTCTGTCTCCAGAGGTGTTCAGGGGAAAGGGAGGATGCACAGGAGATGGTTTGCAAACAAGAAGACATTTCAGCTACACACTTGAGAGCACATGCTGAGGAGTCTAGAAGGGAACACACCTTTCGTATGAATAATACAAGAACTCGAACGCTATCGACCCATCAATCCACTCTCAGCCATCAGGCAACAAATATCTTGAATCCAGCAAGTGAAACCAAATCATTCATCACTCCCCTCCCAAATTACTGTACTTAAATTCAAGCTGTGGACTTCAGAATAGACTGACATCTCTATATGGAAAACATCACCTCTTCCCCCACCCCCAGCCTTAATCTTGGAAATAAATGTCAGGATGATAAAGCATCACAAAGATGTGTGCCCCACTTAAGTCCTTCCATTGCATTCAAGCCCTAAATAAAGTTGTTGTTTTGTTGTGGGTTTTTTTTTTTTTTCTCCTTTTTTTCCATCTCAGGGTCCTAAGTTGTCAAACGCATCCACCAGAGGCTACGGCAGGGGAGGAGGATTTGACGACCAGGGCTCCGCCAATCAGCAGCCGCGCATGCACTCGTGACACCGGCGTTCACGTTGGACCTGCCATCTCTCCACTAACCAGTTAGCCGCCCCAGGTGCGAGGGTGAGGAAACCCGAAAGCGGAAAAGGCAAACAGAGGTCGTGAACGGGAAGCGGGAAGAGTCCAGTCCAGTGCAAGAAATCGGAGAGAAGGGAGAGAAAAGAGAAGGCAAAGAAGGGAGAGGGCGGGGGTCTTCCCCGGAGAAGATCTGTGTGAGAGATAGGACGTAATTCCTGTTTTTCTCCACAGACTACAAGCCATTATTACCGCGGGCCAAATTATTACCCCTCTGTCAAGAATTAGACACAACAATCAAAGTAATCAACGAGCATGTCTAATGCACGGTAACATTTTCAATGCAAAGTTTGTTTTCTCTCTGCCCCCACGTGAGAGCCTGTAATTAACCCGTTCTGTAGGCCTACGCCAAACAAAAGCCTAATTGAGCCTCGTTCCCCTGACTTGCGCAGCTTTGGGAAGGGGGACAGCGCCCCGGGAGCTGGGAGCGCGGGGCTGGTCTCCGCCCAGCTCCCTGGCAGGGGTCCGAGGGGCCTATGCCACAGACAAGGGATTAGGGTACGTTAGCCTTCGTATTTATTACGAGTTGTCAGACATTCAAAACGGCGTTACATTCGCCCTACAAAGGAATCCGGTTTCTAAAGAGTCAAAGTATTACGGGTCGGGGGCGGGGAGGGGCGGACGACAAGGTGGAGGCCCCAATCTTAGCTCCACGCCCGCAAACGAAGCAGCCACGCACGCAGTCTGCCTTGGGGCAGGGCGAGCGTCCTGCGCCCGGGGGCGGACTCGCGCGGGCGGCCACCGCAAAACGCCCGGGGGAAGCTTTAGGGGACGGGTGCACGTGGCCTGCAGGGCGCGCCACTGGGCTCCCTTCCCTAGGAGGCGGTTCCCCAACGGGGCCCCCGCCGCGCGCTCAGACCCAGCCAGTTACCCATCCAAAGTTTTTGGCACTGTCACGGGGGGGAGAAGACAGGGATGGGGGTCCGCGGGTACCGGGGCGGGGCAGGCAAGCAGACACGCAGGCTGACTGATCTGGGAATTGCTGCGAAAACTCTTTTCTCTAGGCCTGTTCTTCCTGCGCAAATAAAGCAGCATTTCTCAATCGGCTGACAGCCGCCACTGGTAAATAATGGTCATACCTCACCGGCTGGGCAGAAAGCCTCTCTTTTAGCACGAGCTTATACTTGAAATATGGGTCATTTCAACAATCCTAGGCGGGGGACTTTGGTATAAAGCAAGCACTTACTAGAAGAAAATAAAATAGTGACTCAGAATCAAAACCATTGGAAGCAGGACCCTCTTTCTATCTGGGGTGGGGTGGGGGTAGGGTAAGAAAAAAGACGGGGGTGGGGGGGAAGGAAAGGTGGGGAGCCGGGAGGGCAGCATCGTATTTTCTCAAACCAGTAAGGCTGCCGCTGAGAGCTGGGTCCCACTACTGCAACGCAAACTCGAAGCTCAACCTTCACTCTGTGCGGCGCAACCTCACGGACCGGCAGCGTCCCCGCGCCCTCGCGGTACTTAATTTCAGACATTTTAACGGCTTACTTGTAAACATATAAAAGAGGGACCCTGGATCACTGCGTTTATTTATTTATCTATGCCAAACATTTATTAGTGAAATAGTCCTGAAGATATAATCCTACATATGGCGCTTTGATTTCACATATTTAAGAAAAAATGACAAAACACATAAAATTAAGACATGTAATTCAAAGACCACGGTACAACCTTTATCTTCTTTTTTTCTTTTTACTTCAGCAAACAAAAAAATAATGTCAAATGACATGAAAAGTGGCAAGTCTTCCGACAATAAATAATAAATTACTTTATAATTTTTGCAATGCAAGAGCAAACAAAAAAAAAATGTTTCCTTTTTTTTTCCTCTTTATTTCCAGAGAGAGAAAACAGTCATTTTAACCAATAACTATACACATCTTTGGGGGAAAAGTTCTTGGACAGACACAAGTCAAACACAATCCCGAGACGCTTGTGGCAAAATAGAGGTAACCTTGTTGCAATGCTTTATAAGTTGGTTTTCAAATCTGAATTCAAAAACCTTTAAAGTCGCTTCAGACTTCTTGATAGAGGATGGATCTCAAAAAAAAAAAAAAAAAAGGAGGGGGGAGGGGCAAAAGGAAAAAAGAAACCAGCTACAGGACATGCTAAGGAACCCAGGATTTCAATTAACCCCTTGTTAAAGTCAACTGAAAACATCGAAAACCGGCGCAGCTCCGCTTTCCTGAAAGGGCTCTTTCAGCCACTGGGGCCCGTTTCTCTTCCTGCTCCTTCGCTGGAGCTCCTGGTTGGCAAGCCAATGACCAATATAGAAACAGCACCATTCAGAATCGGATGGTCTAGAAAACCCCTATTTCTGCTTTCCTCTAGGTGTGCAGTGAAATGAAAATGCTTTTTTTTGAGATCCTTGAATATAAATCCTCTACGTTTTAAAAACGTCTTTTTTTTTTTATTTCCTCCTTCAGTACTCCTAAGGTCATTGGATAGCGTATGTTGGGTTTGGGGTCTGTTGGTTGTTTGTTTTAATTCTAGTAAAATCCCATGATTGTCTTCACAGTGTTGCTACCATATTACCTTGTCATTAAAACAGACTTCGTGCATTTCATGGAGCATTCATTTCTCAATTCAGTTTTCATTGACTGGGCCGTTAAATACTTTTGTTTCCGAGTTCAACGTTATACTTTCCCACCGTCTCCAACCGTGGGGGAAAAACGCGTCTGCATGACCGTTCCTCACGCCTCAATGGGACTGGCCACCATACTGTTGGGCGTGTCAGGGAGCTGAGAGGACATGGAGGCCACTTCGCTGCCGGTGGAATTAGAGCCCGGTCCTCCTTCGGAAAAATTGACCTGCAGAGAAGGTTGAGAAATGAAAAAGTCGGCTTTCACCACGTTCATAAAAGAATTAGAAAGTCATACGTGTGTGTGCATACAAGTATCTGAGTATGGAGGTGGATAGATACGCAGAGACATCCAGGTATTAATTCAATTTTAACAGGCTTAAAGAAAGCCTCCCACAAGGACAAGAGTTTGAGAAGAAATCCTCTCGCTTTCCCATCTTCCAAGAGATCTGTTTTAACTGAAACTGAATTCCCAACATTATGGTTGCATTAAATTATTTAAGAACCAACGTGTTTCCCACTGTAAAACGGCATGGCGACTCTACCACGCATGCTCAGAACAGAATCCTCCCGCCGGCTACGTGCCGCCCTGGGCGCGGGCGAGTTCCCAGTCTCCCGGCTGCACAGCCTCTCTTCTCGAGGTGGAAAACCCGTCACACACTCGCAGACCGTGAGACGGGCGGCTCGGAGGGGGCTCCCCAGATCAGTGATGCGCTCCTCGGAGGGATCACAGCGTGGGCTGTCTTGCTTGTTGGTCCTGTTGTCTGTTGGCCTTTCTCTTTCTCTTTAAACTAGGCTCTTCCTTCCGAGAGGAGACCCATATATTATAACGTCATCGCATTATAAATACCTGGCTCCTTTTGAGCCGAGCAAGTATTGTGTTGCTGTTGGAAAGCTCCTTCTCCACCCAGCCCCTCGCGCCCCCCCCACCCCGCCCCCGGCCAAGGCTCCCACTGCTTCTGCTGGCTTCTGTCAGGAAAGTTCCAGAAGCTGCCCTGCACCCTCCCCTACCTGCCTTCTAGGATCCAGGTCTCGCTCAAATAACTCCTAAGATTAACCTGACTGAAATAAGTTATTTTTTCTAATTCCAGAGTCTACCTTCCTATCTACCCTATTACACTTTCCCATTGTGAGGTCAAGGGACTTCTCAAATGTTCCTGGGCTGGCCCCCTTGCAAACAAACCTGGGCTGAGCCTGTAACCACTGGCTCCGGCCCATCACCCAAGTGCTGCCACAGAGGAGAAAATGCCCTCCAGGCGCGTGTCAGGGCAGAAAGGTAACTTCATATATTGAATAATTTTATTTATCTCGACCCTTAAGCCTTTTGTAGGTGAAAGGTGAGTTCATCTGCTCTTTTCCAGATGTATAAAACATAGTAATGCTAAACTGGTTTTCACAAATTAGCTCTCTGATTGGTAGAACTCCTGTTCCTTTTGCTACATACATGCCCCATAGCATGTAACTAAGTATGAAATTTGAACTCCTACACTTAAAAGAATTTAAGCAGTCCTACATTTTAGATTAAAACAGTCCCAGGAAGGGGTAGAGTAACAAAAAGTATCAATGCTATCTTTGAATAACTGAATTCTTCCCTGATATATTTGGAAACTGCACCCAACAGGCGCCTGCTGCCCACTGATAATGACATTGATTATGCACGTCCCACATTATTAAAACCACCTTGATTTAGGTCCTTAAATATACCATTCGCTAGGAGCTGAGGAGGGAGGGAATTTACTAATTGCTGATTAAAATGTCAAGGTGATCTCTAAAGTCCCTTCCAGCTCTAAAGTCTAAGAGGCACGATTCTGCAAACCTGTCGCCTTCCCACGCACGTCTGTTTAGTTAGGCACCTTGAAGCTAATCCATCAAAGCAGGGCTGACAGAAAATTCAACCTATATGGTCAAATGATGAACTCCCATAAAAAGAGACTCAAGGAGGATTGTTTTTCTTGTGGGCTTGCCTCCCTCTCTTCGCCACAGCACCCTCATCTCTGCCCAGCCCTGGGGCAGGGAGGCACCGGTCCCAAACCCCCCCCCCCCAATCTTTCATTGTGTAGCAGTGAAACCAGAAGCTCCTTGCTGTGGGAGATTCGGCCCCTCGCACAGGGAGCTGACACTTACCAGTTGCTGAAAAGCAGGCTGATCTATGTCACTCTGCAAGGCGAAGTCACTCAGTACTTTCCAAGGTGGCTGGTAACTTTGCACCTCCACTGGGTTTGCCTGTAAGCCACCGTCGTGTCTCTCGGGACTGGCAGCCACCATGGGCGTTCCTGTCATCCCCTGGATATTCTGTGAACAGGCGGCACCCCCCATCCCTTCATGTTAATGAGCAAACTCCCTCCCTCCATTGTCTGCACAGGCTAAACAAATATACCCAGGTATTATCTTATCTATAGTGTGGCTTTTATTGACTCAGTAATCTGCCGCGTATGGATATTAGCAGGAGTTCAGTTTTGTTTTACTGTGTTTTGTTTTTTTGCTTCTGTGGGCTGGACTATTAGGTCTGCTTGGATCCCATTTTAAACCAAATTCTACTGCAACTTCCCTCTGCCCCGTCCTCTCTCGGCTCACCCCAGTGCAGGGCCAGCTGCCCCAGGCCACCACACAATGCGGGGGGCTTCCTGGGCAGTTTCAGTCAGGGTTTCTCCTGGCGGCTGGCCCCGCAGGGCCAACCTCCGCCCTCCAGCCTTTGGGTCTGGCTGCTATTGTGCTTTTATGCACTAACCAACTTAGAAAGTGCCCTGGCCCAGGCTTGGCCGGCCTGCCAAGTTTAATGACAGCAGGTTTTATGGCATTTAAAAATAGGGCCAAAGCAGTAAAAGCAAAAAAAAAAAAAACCCTCTAGGTTAATTTAACCAGAAGGCCTGTGGGGTGGGTGCCGCTGCAGACAAGGGGTGGTAGTGGCTAACAGTGCCAGGGGCCTGACATCTCTGGAGGCCTGGGCTTGACCTTGAGCAGAGGGTACCCTGTTTTTGTGGGTCACCCTGGGGGCACTCGCAGGCCTCAAGGTGCTGCGGAGGCCTCGCCGCGCCTGGGGGGTGGGCAGGCAGGCAGCGGCCCCCAGGATGCCCCTTCCTCTGAAACCTCGGGGTTCCACAGGAAGCCAAGGAGCTGTCATCCTGTCTGAATGTCCAAACCAGCGCCAGGCCTCGCAGCCGCCTGTGCACAGGGCAGTTGTGTGGAGGGTGGAAGTGAGTTTGAAGGGCATGGGCCCACCCACGCAAGCTGGGGCTGCGGGCAGCCACCTCAGCCCGCAGGAAGGCAGTACCCCCCGCTTTGCTGCCAGGCCGGCCCTGCAAGGCCTCTCCCTGAGATTGGGGTGGGGCTGGGGGGCTGCCTGTCGGGGCTCCGTTCGGAGCCGGAGGGAAACCTGGGACGCGGGCGCCGGCCAGGCAACCTAGGCCACCAGCATGCACCTGGCAGCCTCCTCGGCTTCCCTCCGGCCCCTGCCCACCGCCTGGGCCACTCACAGTTTTGTCATTGGGCTGCTGCTGCTGGAGCTGCTTCATCATGATGCTCCGCTTCTTGTCCTTGCACCGCTTGTTTTGAAACCAGACCCGGATCACGCGGGGGCTGAGGCCCGTCATCTCCACGAGCTGCTCCTTCATGAGGGCGTCAGGCCGGGGGTTGGCGGCGTAGCAGGTCCGCAGGGTGTGCAGCTGCTTCTCGTTCAGCACAGTCCGCACGCGGGTGGTCTTCTCGGGCTGCTTGTGGACGTGGGGCCGCAGGGCCGGCTGCCGCGCGGAGATGGGCTCGGCTGTGGGGCAAGGGGCGCCGTGAGCGCAGGGCCGGCCGCTGGCTGGCTCGCCCGCCCGCCCGCCCGCCGCTCCCGGACGGCAGCCGGGGCTTTGCGGCCTCGACAAAGCAGGGGCAGCAGTGGCCAAAATCTCGCTCTCTGATCTCAGAGGTCAGAGCTGAGTGATCTGCACCGGAACGCAGCCTCCGCCCCTGCTCTGTCAACACAGCGCTGGCAAAGGGGTGCGTGTCTCAGGGTGCGTCCCCCTGCTCGCAGCGGGGGTGGCATCTTTCAGAGTTGCTTCTCCTCCCTTCTTGCCTTTCCTCACACCCAGACTGGGCCCAGGTTACACCAAGCGCCCCTTCCCCCCCGCGACTCTTGGGCAAAGGCCACAGAGGGTACCAGGCACACCCAGAGGCCCCAGAGCAGCCAGAGTATCTGCAGCATTGAAGGCCAATGCCCAGGAAAACTATGCCAGAAAGCCTTGAACCTCAGTCCGGAGGGGCCACTCCTGTCAAGGGTCTGAGGAAATTCATACTTCAGCCATCTCTCGACTCCTTGACCTTTCTGAGAACCAAGTCTACCCAGACATTCCTGAAATGGGCTAACCCCAAGCAAAAGAAAATGGATTCTGTTGCACTGCCTGGGCTCCAGCTAAGGACGCTGGGACGTGCCGCCTCCTGACTCAATCCTGCCTTCCAGCCTCCTAGGGGGCTCCCCACAAGTGCAGCCCAGGTTGCACCAAATAGGAGTTGCCACCTCAGGCTTTGCCCCTGTGTGAGGTACTCACAAATCCCCCCCCCACCGGGGGCGAATTCTCATGGCTGCCAGAAAGCAGAGGGGATGAGCTGCCTGTTTCCTCAGCCAGAGTTTAGAGGGAAGTGATACTTTAAAAACGCACCAGGGCATATCCATTCATGGCCGGAAGGCAGGATTGGAAACACTGTCTGCCTTCTTACCCCTGGCCCCCTCCTGGCGGACCTTAATGTTTCTACTCTCCTTGGGTGGGGGCGGGGGAAGGGAGTGTAAGGCCCTCTGATCTGTAGGGTACAAATTCTACACCTTCCAGGACCCCCCAGGGTCAGGTCAACACCTATGGGGTCAATTCAGTGGTAGAGCCACAGGCCCCAAAGATGAAATTCTCACCAAATCACTTAGAATGAATGGTTTAAAGAGGCAGGCTCCCTTTAAAAGGCAATTACTGCAGATTAGCTTGTTGACAGTTTTAAATTACAGCTTTGTGCAAGGACCTGCCGTTATCAAGACTGTATCTTTTCATGTTCATTTTCTCACAAAAGGATAAAAATACATTTAAAAAATGTTTTGGTGTGCCGGGCAGTTGGCAGGGAAAAGGGATTTGAGAAGCTAAATGACTTAAGGCCACCTCAACTTCCTTCACTGGGTTCCAGAAGGAAGCTCAGGGCCCAGAACTCCACCCCTTTAATTAGGCAGCAACCCGCCTGTGCCCGGCAGCAGCCGATGCCCGTTTTCTGTAAGCCGCGGCTCGGAGGCCACGGCGAACCTTAGTGCTGTTTGGGCCTGTGTGTGCATGTGTGCACGAGCGATGTGCATTCACGTGTACCCACATTTAGGCACACAGACCTGCAGGTGTGCTGGGAGAGGTAAAGGGAACAAGGAGCGCATCGAGCCTCGCTGCCAGGGAGCCAGCGTGAAGCGGGCGCAAACTGCACCCCCTGCACTTCAGTTACCCGCCGGCCTGGCCGCCGCTGCTGCCTCAGCGGCCAGCGACCCGTGGCTACCGGGGTCCGGTCGACAGCGGCCACCGGTGCGCCGCGCCGGGCGAGGGCAGGCTGGCCTAGTCGGAGGCGCCTCCCGCGCCAGCCGGCCTCCCTCCGGGCCGAGGAGTACCTGCCATTTGCAGCGGCCGTGCCGGGTGCAGGGGGCTGAGCGGGTCGCCGGCGCCCAGGCTGGCCCGCTCCACCACGTCGTGGTCGGCGCGGCAAAAGAGCCCGTCCTCCCGCAGCGCGAACTCGTCCCCCGGGATGAGCTGGCGGCTGCAGGCCACGCAGCGGAAACACTCGATGTGGTACACCTTGGAGCGGGCGCGCATCACGAAGTCGTTCTTGCTGAAGCCGATGCTGCACTTGGCGCATTTGATCCCGTACAACCTGCGTGGGGCCGGACGGGAGAGAAGCACAGGGACAGGGGTCACTTCAGGCGGACAATGTCCCTCCCGAAATGGCCGGCTACCCGGCCAGCAGGCCCTGAGCCCCGGAAATCGGCAGGAAGCACACAGGCAGGGCAGGGAGGAACAGATGTGATCAGGTCTCCCTCCCGCGCCCTTTCTCTCTCGTCCTTTTCCTTTCGAATGCCTGTGTCTCAGTCGCCGGTCCTATTTCACCCAGGCCACACCAAGGACAAACGTCCGATGCGCTCTGCACCCTGGGCCGCGGCGCCAGGGACCGGGCACAGGGCAGCCCTTGCCGGGCCCAGAAGGAAGGAGCCCAGAGGGCCTCCGGTGGCCACCGGCCCCACACTTTCCAGAAACGTCTCCAAACCTGCAAGCGTAAGTCCTCCTTCCAAGAGGATAGGAGACTGTCAAGCCACTGGGCGTGCAAACACCCGCAAGTGCACCGGCAGAACAACAAAATGAAACCCGAGGGTTTCCAGATCCCCCTCTGCACCAGTCCCCAGCAGTCTGCCTGGAAAGGAAGGTCTTTCCGCAGGCAACAATGTTACCAGCAAGGTGCCTCTGCAGTGTTCCTTTCCTTACCATTTTTAAAATTTGCATATGCTCCCTCAGGCTTTTCCAAGGGGTCTGAGGCATCTACCTCTATTTCAGTTTGCTTGAGAGCCATGACCGGCCAGAAAAAGGAAAAGCCCCGCCGCTGAGGTCTTCCTCGCTGACCTTTCCTTACCAAGAGACAAGCTCTGTAGGTTTCTGGGCCGCACCGCCGGGCCCCGTCACTGGGTACAGGCAATGACAGAGGCCGGGGGGGGGGGGGGGGGGGGGGGGGCCTTCCTACAAACGGAGTGGGAGAGGAACAGACCCACACAAAGCAGGGAGGCAGCACCTCGCTCCCCTAAGGGGAGACAGGGAAACCTAAGTGATCTCGCTGCTCTGCTTTTAAAGAATTTCAAAAGGCCACGCGTGTACACACACACACACACACACACACACACACACACAGAGGAGGTGAGACAGTGGAGAGGAAAAGGTAAAAGCAATTGGCTCCTTCTACAAAAGTGTATCGAGAATGAGGCACACGCAGGCCTGTAGGCAATTGAGCAAAAACACTGTCTCCATAGGAGTAAAGATACTGCTGGAGGCGCGAAGTGAGCTCGCCCTCCGCAGAATCTCGGGTTCACACACCAATCAAGTAAACAATGGAAAAGGCTCATTTGTCAGAGGTTAGAAGGTAGATTCAAAAGTTTTGCCTCCCTCCGCCTACTCTAAGTGAGATCTTCCATTTCATAGGATGAGGGCCTTACCTTGCTCGTGACCAAACAATTTGGAAAACCCCTCCCCCTTCCTCGGGTTCCCCGCTTCACCGTGTCCTCCCACTGGGCCCCCACCTCCACCCACGTATTCATAAACTTTTTTTGCACTGTTCCGTTCTATCAATCAAGAGTCTACTCTCTGCTTTTATGATTTTAAAATAAGAACTAAAAAATCCTGGACACTAAAGTGAGCAGGAAACATTTTTAAGGGCACAGTTAAATCTTGACTAAACTTTTGAGTTCTCAGTTCCAGAAACTCCACAGCTCACGAAAGCTATTTTCTTATTAATAGCCACGAGAGAAAGTATTTTAAAAATACAATTTTGATATCTTTTTAACATACTAGCGAAGGTTTTAACTCTTCTGTTTTTTATCGAAACAATACAGTTTTCTTTAGAACTTCGACTGGCTTCCAAAGGCAGGAAATGAAGTTTCTGATATATAAATACACAGGTCAGAGAAAATGTGAGATTAGCAAAGCATGAAGTATAGACTCAGAATAAATGGAAAGGGGAAAAAACTCAGAAAGTTCCTTATGTGGTTTTAGTCTTGTCAGTATGGGCAATTCGCTCATTTTATCAGTTACCAGATTTTAATGTGAGAAAGGAAGCTGTTCAATTATCTAAATATACCAATTGTTCGTAGACAGATGATGGGCAATTTGATCTGCTCTGTCTAATTCATCAGCTCAGATAAGATAAGAAAGAAAAGACAGTCAGATGTCACCAAAGGGTTAATATTTAAAAAGATTAAATTTCCGGCCTTTTTGCAGAGAATATTTGGTTTGGTTTTTAAAGGTTCCAGCTAGAAACTCTTCGCCTAAAAGTAAAAGTCTATTTGCTCTTTGAAAATGTATCTTTAAACATGTTTGGATCAAACTTTTATTTCACCCATTACACTGGTATCTCCAAAGAACTGTAAGGTACTAATAAAACAATGAACTAAAATAAATATATAGAAAAGAAAAACAGCGCATGGTACAAAAAAAACAATGTTTTTAAAGTTTAGAAACCCCCCATTCTCCATCTTTAATTTTTTGGTTTGTTTTGGAAAGGTGAGGGTAAAGGAGAAATATAATCTGAGCACCGCAAGTTCTAAGAGCAATTAAACAAGCTTCGATAACCACAATTTATGAAAACCACCATCAAATTTGGGGCGGGTGCCCTAAAAAGTGAGGTGAACAGCACAGCTTACTTTATGTCATACAGGATCAGGGTCCCTTCTGCACGCCGGACCCCACTAAGGCAAACTTCACCAAAAGGCAAAGCCACACTAAGTAAGAAATAAGGAGGTGGGGGGAGACGGGTATCTCTCACAGTTAAGGAAGCAGTATATAAATGGCATACCTGATATAATCTCTTTTACAGTAGGTTTTCCCATCTCTAACAAAGCACGTACAGCTCTCGTCCAAGTACTGATTACACTCTGCACATTTCAAACATGCTGCATGCCATTCCAAATCCGGAGAAACCCTCAGAATATACTGATCGTGAATTTGATTGCCGCAACCAACACATAGGGAAATCAGGCGTTTTTCTGAAATGAAAATAAATACATGATTGACTAACCGTTTACTTCCTACAGAGATAAACACACTTTTAGTGTCGTTCTCTTATAGGGCGTACTCTGGGAGTTTTTTTTCTTTCTTTCTTTCTTTCTTTCTCTTTAAAGAGTATTGCACTTTGGGATGGTAATTGAAGTGTGCCATCAAAACCCTGACTCATTTTTAAAAGGAGGTGGAATAGATGTAAAATGCAGATTTGAATAGTCTACATTTGTAAACCTAGCACGCAATCAAACCCGTTCATTTTGCATTTTTTCCCCTCCCTCCTCCCTCTTTGCCATAACCGCTGGAAAAGATTGTGGATAAGTCAAGTCAAAGAAAAGGTTTTGACTAGCAGCGTTAAGTGAACGCAGGGATGTCTATATTTTCCATGAAGCACACTCTTAAATAGCACCTAGGACTGGATATTGTTAGCAAGAGCACACATCAATACAGTTGTCACTCGTTCTCTTTTGCAAGTCTAATGCTACTTCACATCCCCGGGTATTGTATGTGCAGGCAGACCTTTGCAACAGAATAACCTTCTCGGAGAGCTCGGGATTCCCGGGGAGGAAACCACCACTTAGCACCAGAAGGCTGGGGCTTGGGAGGGCACGCAGGCGAATTCAACACAAGGTACGACCAGTTTCCCGAAGATCAGAACCGACAGCAAAGCATGCAGGCGTGGCGGCCACGAGAAAAAGCCACCTTCTCTCTCTCTCTTTCTCTCTCTCTCTCTCTTTCTGTCTCTCCAGGCAATGACTCCAACTCTGAAGAGCCCTTGGCACCCGTGCCTGAGACAGACCCCCGCACAGACCAGCACACCGAGCCCCACAAGGTAAAAGAGCCTCTTACTTTTTGGTGGATCGCCCATGTCTCCCATATCTGTAAGAGGGAGTAGTGTCCACAGTGAAATGGTGGTTGTACAGTTGGTGAACAGCCCACAGAGAGGATGCTGGAGCTGTGGCTAAGTGGGAGACAGTGGCCCGGGGGCTGCCGAGGCTGAGCTAGCCGCTGCCCGGCCGCGCCGCGCCCTCGCGGATCGGAGAGTCCAATCGGAGCCGGCGGAGCTGGCGGAGCGGAGGCGCTGCGGCGGCGGAGGACTCGGCGCGGCTCGGGCACCTCTCTTCCTTATCTCTTACTCAAACTTCTCTGCTCCAACTCAGCTCCATCGCCATTGGTCTGACGCAGCGCGCGGAGACGTCAGGCGAGCGCCGCGCCCATTGGCTGCGGGGCGCTCGGCGCAGCTGTTCTGATTATCATATTTCAGCCCAGCCGCGGCCGTGCGCCACTGACCGCGCGGCGAGCCCGCGGGAGAGGATTAGGGCTCCCCGGCAACTTGTTCGGGGTCCGCCGCTCTCCCGCGACACTCACCGCCCGGCCGCTCTGGCTCTCGGCCTCCCTCTCCAGCTGCTCCTCCTCCTCCTGCCCCCTCCCTCGCTCCTTCCCGGCCGCGCCGCCTGCGCCCTCGCCGCCTGTCGCGCTGCTCCTCCGCCCTGCGCTCCTGGGGTCCCCGCCGTCCGGCTGGCCGTGTTGTGCGCTGGGCTCACTTTTCTGCCGCCGGTGGCGAGTGGCTGGTGGGTAGGTCTTCCTGATGATGAGACCCCCCCCCCCGCCCCCGGGTTCTAAGCAAAGGGGCCACTTGGAACAGTTTGGCTCGGTTTGATCTCGCACTTGGGCGCACAGCTTCGGGCCTGGCCGTGCTTGGCTGCCGGGGAGGGTGAGTTCCCGAACTGGCTGCGCTTGGCGCGCCGGGAGCTGCCTTGGGGGAAGAAGGACCGGGAATAGGACGAACGGACCTACAGGACTTGTTTGCTACTGCTATCCCGGGACCCCATTCCCTCCGACCCTAGATCTCCAAAAACTGGGGGCGGAATGGAAGGGACCCTCTGGCCTTAGGGGAAAAGCAGGTTGGAGGCGCGCAGGTAAAAACCAGGTTGCTCCGCGGACTCCTTTCTCTCCGTCCGACCCGTGGCGTCTGCTTTGCAGTTGAACTCGGGGGTTAGGAAGCGTGCTAACTAGAGTCTAAAACGAAATGGACTTCCATTAGTTTTGATTTTGTAGAGAGGTTATGTCCTGCCCAGTTTCTCTCTTGCTGGTCTCCTGCCCTTTGTTTTTAGGAAACGTGTACAGTTCGCTGGTGGCGTTTTGATCATTGTAAGGTCAGTCTCCATGTGTCTCTATAGAGATTTTTAAAAACGCGTTAGTCTAAGGGCATGAAAGGGAGGGGTCTAAGGCAGAACTGTGAAATACCTATTTCACTTCACCGGGTGTGTTGATCTGATCATTTTCTCTCAGAAAACAACCTGGATAAGGAAGAATGTTGGCGGCAACTCGCCGGTGACCCTTTTCAGTAATTTCTTACCTGTTCCGGTCATCTTTCAGTCTCCCTGAAACAAACTTACAGTGAGGCCATGAAGAACCCCCACACTTCTCCCAAAGCTCCTAAATAGCTTTGCCTTATCTAACGTGACTGCCAGTTTTATCTGAAAAGGCCCACAAACGCAAGCAGCAGTAGAAGGGGTAATTGCGGTGTCTTGTTGCCGCCAGTAAACCCGGGGTGTTGGGAAACTCCTAGCATTGTGTCTTTCCCGAGATCGCCCCTGATAAGAGCTCAGATCCCCCAGCTGGGCTCAGTGGCGTCGTTTACTCAGAAGCCCGAGTTTCCGCCTGATCCCAGCTGAGGCTTTCTCAAGAACATGTATTTTTCAAATATTTTGCTTTATCTCAAGGACGATCTCTTAACTGGATCTCATCCTTTTTCTTTTTAGTGTAAGGTCAGTGTGTGTGAGATTGAAAATTGGATGCACGCAGGTTGACAAATTTACATTTTCGGTTTTGCTTTTCGGTGATAATTTCTAGTTTGTGGCATTATATGCATGGAGCCTTTTGTCAGCTGCTTTTGCAAAACTGATGCTCATAATCACAACACGAAGCAAACCTTGCCAGTATACAGGCATATTTCCTTTACAGATAACCAAGTTAACTCTAGTTAAAAAAAAGAAAAAAAAAAAGAGAGAGACCACTGTAACACTAGAAAGTAAATAGAGGATTTTAACCAATCATATTCCATCATGCCACCTTTATAACATGGAATTAAACAACGGAAGCTGCCAGAAGCCTGATGACTTATATTTGAAATTCACAAAGCACCCTCACCATGCACCCTCCTTCAAACCAGCCACACACTCCGTGTGGCATTGGGACTCCCTGAACTAATAAGCCATTCCAAAGAATTATTGCTGATGTTGATAGCAATTCCAAAGGGAAAAGCTGGCATGTACCTTGGAGGAAAACTGTTAGTAATGGGCAGTTTCATCATAATGGTAAAGACAATGTTTTGCTTGCTTCAGCCCACTGTTACTGTAAACAAGTATTTTCTTAATAAGTTTGTAGGCCAATAGATGCAAAGATCAAGCAGACAATACCCCCTGTCCAAGGGGGAAATCTGAGGGAGTCCAGTAATTATGTTGTTTCGTGATGGATGAGTTCTGGAGTTGTGTCTGTTGCTAATACATTTTGTGTATCAAAAGTTTGGGTAGCAAGCATTATTGTTTCATTTCACCATGAAGTTCAAATATGATCACAGATTATTCCCATTTCCTTAGCTGATATGTGCACTTAATGCATTAAGTATATCTGTAAAAGATTTTCATAATGTTTTTATAGAATATATCAAATTGTGATTAGCAATATTTCCCCCAGTATTTGGTCACAGGAGCGACCTCTTGTGTTCAAAGCGGGGATTGGACCCTCATCAAAAGTGGGCTCATTTTGACCTGTGAATATTAGGGGAGTTCAAAAGTCTATCCTTCAAAACAGCAGTGGTGTGAATCCCCTAGTATGCGCTCTTCTGGGGAGAGAAAAAGGAGTATGTGAGTAGTTATTAAGTATAGTTTCTGTTACTCTCAAATCTACTGAACTGTGTCTTTGAAATGAAAAAGAGATGCTTCTATTTCATTAAGTTCCCCTTGGGTCCATGGCATCTGCCCATGCACACCTTCCAAAGTGCGGCTCTTACACCTGAAACTTGTACGTAGTGAGCTCTTAGGCCTGTGTTATTGTGTGCCGTTGTCTTTGCTCTGCTTTAATGAAAATGGAAACATCCCACATCAAAGTTAATGCCAGCTACAGGTTCCTGAACAAATACCGTGTTCTCAAGATACTTTTCGAAAAATCTAAATAGGTTTTACTTGCAATTGAAGAGTGACATTACACATTTCAGGTTTATTTATTCCCCCAACAACCTCTGACAGATATATGTGCATTTTAAGTCGGTTCTTTGGGAAATTATGTACAGTAGAGGAGAAAGCTTTTTCCTCCCCAACTAATCAAAACTGGGAAGGAATGGGGCTTTGAGCACCTTTCCCTAAGCTGTGGGTTGGTTGGGGAACTTGGTCCCGCGGATGTGATGCTCTTCTGTTTAGTCTGCAGAGGAGTTGGTTTGAAAGAGTAGAATTGCAATTGGGGTGCCGATTTCCACAAGTACGGTATTAAGACAAAAAACTACAACTGAAGGAGTTATTTTCTGATATCCTGAGGGGGGGAGTTTAAAATGAAACAAACATTCACCTCTGGAAACAGATATAGAATATATCCCATTCACCCTTATTTTTACTTTTTCTGTGTAATCTAATCATGTAGATAGAATAAGACTATCTCAAGCATTAGTATCTTAAATCATGTCTGAGAGTCAGATAAAATTATGTGTTTAAAGGGAGTCACGGTTAACCATTTATACTCCACCCAGAACGGATTGTGGGTGTTTAGAGCTAATTTGTCTCCCTTCCAGTTTTATTGTTGGTGGCTTATTGAGAACGATTCAAGAAAATCTTTGCTCTAATTTCAGAGAAAAAGAGAAGGGATCTTCTTTATGTACCATGGGGTATGGAATGATTATCTCTTTTTCTCTCCTTTTACCTTTTTTTTTTTTTTTTTAAGAATACTAAGTAATGATAATAATAAAGGCGGTTGTCAGCGACAACAAACCTGTAGTTGCGATTCTCATTTTATTGCGGAGGACTCCTACTGAGATGGTGCTTTTGTTGAGTGTCAATTGCTTTATTAACCAGTTAAAACAATCTAGGTGAATTAGCAAGAGTTTTCTTATGCACGCAGGGCTTTCTGGCAGCTCTGGGAGCTCAGGTCGCAGTGGCTGTCGCCAGCGTACCTGGTGCCACCGGCCCCCCCGCCCCTGGGAGGCAGCGTTGGCGTGCGGTCTGCTGCTCCCTTCTCAGCCGGGATAGAATTCCAGGCTCCCGGCAGCGGCGAAGCCACAGACCTCAGAGCAGGCGACACCCGGCAGCCCCTCTGCCGGTGGAGTCTGACCAAAGCTTTAAAATTGTGCTTTTGAAAGTATTTGTTAGGATTTCACTAAAGCGGCTGGCGGTGCCCGGTGGAATCTTTTTTTCTTTTTTCTTTTTTCCTTTTCGAAGCCCTAGGTGACCAGGAGCAGGCCGTTTTTCCCTGGACCGCAGTTGCGCGTGGAGGCCCTGCCGGAGCTGGTGAGTGCAGTGTGCTGAGTAAGAAGTTCTGGCCCAAGGACGCACTGAACCCTGCATCTGGCAAAGCCTCCCTGAAATGTATCAGATTCTCCCTGGGCTAGTTGGAGTCTGGGGACGTATAGCCCACGTCCTGAGCTGTCGGGCTGAAAGCTGCCACATTTGCACCGAATGTAGCAAACATTCACGGCCCACCTGAGCTCCCGGCAAACGCAGAGCCAGTTAACTCTGTAGTCGATCAAAACAGACATTCTTTCTGAAAGAAGTGACACCCTTTCACCCACTGCACCCAGTCCAATGCTCTGAATTTAGCAGCCAAAGAATGGTTCCCAGAGCCCGTGGGAGGTTTACTGGAGCCAGCGGGGGAAGGGAGGCGAAGGTACCTTGGAGGAAGGAGGTCCGGAGGAGGAGGAGGAGGAGCAGCCGAAAATTTCCAGCCAGGCGGGGGAGGGACGTGGAAGCCCGGAAATTTACCAGGGTGCCCCAAATAACCTTTCCTAAGTCTCCGAATTCAGCGTTCCAGACAGCGTCGTAATAGAGTCCAGGGCTGGAGCGCTCGGGTGGGCTGCGGAGGTGATGTCAAGAGTTATAGCTACATT